TTTTGCCTTCTGTTTGTTCGCTGCTAAGAGAACATATTCAGAGAGAACTTGACTTTGGGAAGGTTCGAAGAGTTTCACCATTAAGCATAACTTTGGAATCATGCTCAATAGGACCTCATGGTAAAGAGTTTTCTTGTGGTGAGGTTCTCACCATGAAACTTCGAGTGCGGCCATTTGCAAGTTTGAGGAGAGGGAAGATTGTGATTGATGCGGTCTTGTCTCATCCAAGTGTCTTGATTGTGCAAAAGAAAGACTATACTTGGCTAGGGATACCCTTTTCTGAAGGTGATATCCAAAGGCATTCCTCAACTGAAGAAGGGATTGATTATCGGACAAAAACCAGGAGGGTTGCCAGGGAGGAAGCAACTGCTTGCTGGACCAGAGATAGGGATCATGCAGCTAGAGAAGCGGCAGAGATGGGATACCTAGTTTCTGAGAGGAGTTCCTGTCAATACGAAGGTGATGTTTTAGAGGAAAGGCATTTTAGTGAAGTAAGCAGCTCCAAGGCTTTGTTATGTACAGATGAGAAGATGCACTGGAAGGATCACCATTGTATGGACTCAGGTGTTGAGTATCACACGAAGCATGCAGATTTGGAGAAATCATTTGGGGTAAAGTTTCCTGGTTCAGGGTTTAAGCTTTGGTCAAAGCTGATCCAAGGCCCTAAGAAGCAAAAATTTAAAAGGAAAAGTAACATGAGTGATTCCTCTGCCGTTTTTGTTGCTGCCAAAAGACGAATCCTTGAGCGTAGTGCATCAGCAGCCGTATCATATTTCCAGAACCTATCTCGAGTGGATCTTGATGAGCCTTCAGATTCGTCTGAAAATTATGATGTGTTGAATCTCGATACCCTTTTAATGAAGAACAACGGTGATAATAAGGTCGAAAAACAACATAAAGAAGTAGAAGAACAACGTGTCATAGTGAATCAAAATGCTAGCCATCTATATAATTTTGATTTTGTTCGAGATCCCTTTCTAATGGTGGTTAGCACACTATGTGGAAGTAAAAGATACAGAAAAAGTTTGCTCTCTGTTGGAACCGCTGAAGTTGATCTGAACAGAACAGGGAATGTGGTAGTTGATGTTGTAAATGAATGCACAAATGACAACGTAAATGAGAGAAAAAGTGGAAATGCATCTCAACATTTAACTTTTGAAGAGCATGAGCACCGACCTGCAGTGAATCATCCTGTTTCCATTTGGCCCTTAAACTTGAAATTTGGCTTCCTTCACTTTTCTAAAAATGTCAAGGAACTATTATCTAGTTTTTTGACTGGTCCATTCAAAATTGAAGTCTGGTATGGATCCAAGGGTTGAAAAAATTGTTACCGAACCTGGTGATGGGGGA